GATTTGGTGGTGGTGGTGGTGGTTGACGTGTTATGGAGCGATTGGGAAAAAAATGACGAATGGGTGATTCAATGGCGACTTGGCCGTCCGAAAGTAGGGCTGCGGTTGTACAGGAATTGGTGAATTGGCAGGCGTTTGTTGGCGGTGACGATAGGGCAGGGCGAAGGGGAGGTAAGTCGTGGCAGTGGTTGTACAGCAGATTGAGTTCAAGGTGTGGTTGACAGGTGCCAATAGAGAAATGACAGCTGTTCAAGGAAGAGGGAGGATGCCAATGTATGAGGGGCAAGGAAGAGGGAGCGGCTTGCAGTCAGTCGAACGGGGGTGGGGGAAGCATAAGTGCCTACTGTGGGATGGAGTAATATAATGCACCAGACCAGTGTAGCACGTACCCAAGCGCGTCTCGCCCACCAGTAGCAACCGAGAGGCAAGAGGGCTTGCGGAAATGAATAAGCTGCGGGTCCTGTTGCGGCTCTGTAAGAGAGAGACCCATAGTATGTGCTGGCGAGAAGGGAGCCAACGGCAGAGGTTCGAGAATTTACGGCTAGTAGAGAAGAGTCAAACCCCAAGAGGTACAGCCTCACCGGTTCACTCTTGCCACCGTGCTGCCCGCAGTAGCGCTCGAAAAAAAACGGCTGTCGATCGGAGACAGTTTCTGTAACCCGTTCGTCAAGGCTGGACATGTCTCGATCGGCGGCATGCAGGTTTAGACGCCTAACAAATATGCATAAACAACAGATTGGCAGCCATGCACCCTTTACGGGGGCTCTTTTTTTTCGCGTTTTTCGCTGCAATGGGGGGCCCACTAATGCAATATGCAACGTGAGGAGGGGAGAAGGCAAAAATAAATAATACGTCAGACTCTGCAACCTTTTGACAAGTGTACCGAAACCAGGGAACCTTGGCGACAGACTGCGTGGAGTTTCCATGTAGGGTTTCTGGATGGGCAGGGTCTAGAGGGGTTCAGCACGACTAGACCAAACATGCATGGCAGAGCAAAATAAAAATGGGGCGGCTAGTCGGCTAGGGGGCCCTTTTGGAAGCGCTTGAGGAGGGCGTGTACACAGGATTCTGTGAGGGAGCGAGGGATGCAAAGCATAGTGGCTCGAAGCGAGAATGCATCGCATCCGGCATAGCATGGGGCCATCAGGGGTGGGCGTGGCCAAGCGGTCAAATGAGGGGAGCTGATTGATGCGTTCGAGGAATGTCAAGATACCTGGGGTTGGTGCTACCAGAAAGCATCAAGCGTCACTGCCAACGCATACATGCAGCGAGCACGGCCCCCAGATCATGGCTGCTTTGCAATGCGCCTGCATCTCAATGAGGCAAAGGGTCAACGGCTGTTAACTGTGAACCGTGTCCATGCAGGCATAAATTGGCAGCTGTGGAGATTGTGTGCCGGGGTGGGTTGCTCGGGGCTGGAGCAGGAGCTGGAGCAGCATGGCAAGATGTGGTGGAGTAGATTTGGGACAGGCCATGATTGACGAGAAGGGGAGCAGCCAGTAGGGGCCATGCGTTCCTGCGCAGGCCTGCCGGGCCATTGCGAGAGATTTCACAATGCAACTTGTTGACAGACCCTGGAGGCGTTGACCAAAGGCAGCGGTCCAGTGTCATGACTGGGTCCACACTGCCATGGTTGAGCGAGGCAGGCAGACAGAGATGGAGAGCATGTTGCCGAGGACGAGATGAAGATTTTTTCCTTCTCTCCTCTGAATTGGACACAAAGGGATCGTGCGTCGGGCGGCTGCAGCGTGTACTCGATGTCTGGCCTGCCGCGTAGTGGGTTCTCGAGCAGCAGCAGCAGCAGCAGTACTTACAAAAGGCTGGGTGAGCACAGAGCAGGTCGTCGTGGAGCGGACGCATAATCTCGGTGAATCCATAGGTCGAGGCGGTTCACGACAGGCAGCGGTGCATGCTAGGTCCCAGGGCCAGCAACGGCCGCTTTTTGCCTGGCGCCGATCCAACGCGGTGGTCGATACATGGCCTCTCTCTGCCTCCATGTGTACTGCAACATATGTACATATCCAAGTACGTACATGAAGCGGGGCCAGGGCGCTTGTTCACGGCGGCAACGAAGCGCGAGCAACGATGACCGTGGGCGACCAGACAAAGAATGATAGCCGTCGTCGTCGTCGTGTGGTGGCGTAGCGGGCGCCTTACTCCAGCGCCAGCCCATTATCTCTCCCCCATGTGGAGAAGGCAAAAAAGCCTTCAGCAGCCTGTTTCGCGCGCGGGAGATCTGTGGATGACGCGAGCGTACACCCGCAAGCACGGCCACCCGCACACCCCCAAGCTGCAAAATAGGCGGTGAAGAAGGCGTCGTTGTCCGGCAAAGCCATGCGCCCCTCTCTGTGCGCACTGATGTCTCTCCATCGAGGATGCGTTAGCAGACGAGACAATACAGACCAAAGTCCGGAACAAGCAGCGGGCGGTTCAATGGCGGCCATGGACGAGGCGTCGTCGTCGTCCTGTTTCGACCATGTCCATGTCGTCTTCAAATCGGCCTTGTTCCATTCATACTAGGCGGTACTAAGACCCACATGTTCTCGCACCACTCCAACCAGCCACGGCCTCGCCCTCCTCTTCAGCCTCGTCGCCGCGCTGCCTGACCGTGACAGCGATACTTCCAATGGACGAGGGGCCTGCAGGGCAACAGGCTAGCTAGCTGGATGTACATGTGTATGTACATACGTACGTATCCGTGTGTACTACTTACTTGGAGGGGAGGGGGGCCGGCCTGTGGCCATGTCCCACTACCGATGCCTGCGACTAGGTGGGGGGCCATCCCGACACGCTCCAATCCCGTGACTTTGCCTTCACGCTTCTTTCCGTCCATACATGCACAATACGAGGCCGACGCAACAAGAGGCCCGGTCCACTCCCCTCCGTGCTCGACGGGCAACAATTCCATAACGGCCAAAATCCCCCCGTATTGCCTACTGGCTCACCATGTCTGCCGTCTGTCTTGCCCAGCCCAGACGGCCGGCAGCAATGAACCCCGCAGCCCAACCCCGCTGTCAGCCAGGATTCCCTCTTTCATAACTCATCTACTAGCTCTGATCGCTCTCCAATGTCCGACGGGCAGCAATCAGCCTAGTCTGCAATCTATGTACACATGTACATATGTACACATATGCCCATGTCCCATGTCGCCATGTCCACTGTCCACATACGTATCTACATGATGCCCGTGGTCCTGGGCGGGGCCAGCATGTGCGGATAGCCCTTCTGTGACTGCGGTATCCTGAGCAAAAAAGCATCCATACCACAAGTACGGAGCTGGTCTCAACCTTTTTCCTATGCAAACCATAGGGGAACCGAAATGGCCGCTGGATTTCACATGGCTCTCCACCTATGCCGAAGCTTGAAGCTCCGACACCCACAACCTATACATATACCCTGTGGACTGAATGTTTCAACATTGTCCACACGTCAATCAACGTATTGCACCAGGCCTAGACTCAACTCACCCACCGAATTTACTTTGTACCCGCCCAATAATTTAGCGAGCCGCCATCATGCCCAAGATTGTCCGCCTCACGTTCTTCAAGATCGGCGACAAAGACACCATCCAGGAAGTAATCGGCCTGTACAGCACTCTGGCCCAAGACGCAACAAAGGTACGTTAAACAAGTCCGCTTCTTGACTCGTACACCCTACGTCCGACCGTCGTCTATGCCGCACCTTTCCCTGTGAGGAAGGCACCCATACTGCGTCCGCTCTTTCACAGTGCCCCAAAGCGCATTACATAATCGGACCGTGCATGCACGTCAGGCCCATTTCGTCATGCCCGACACGCCCAGAATCTTATCGCCCTCGGGGCATTTGTTGCGCCTTTTTTAATTCCTCACCGCGGACGAATCGTACCATGGCTACATGTTTTCCCTAGTCGCTTGCCCGTGTTTCAAGCGGCTACGGTACGTGGCGGGTGCAGAGTACTGCCGCGACTAGGAAAAATGGGGTGGAGTGACCGTCGTGGGTGTCTGCATATCGCGGAAACTTCCTTGTGATCGCGATGCATGTGGGCGGCTCAGGCTCCTCCTTCCTAACCGACATGGTGCTAAATATACCCTACCCGCCAATCCTGTGCTCTCGTGATTGCCGAGGTGCTTTGTCTTTTTTGTACCCTAGTACACAAGCTAACGTCATATCTCTCTAGGACGGAAAGCAGTACATCCAGCTTTCCCAGGCCAGTGCTCCCTACGAAGACCACCGCAACCAAGGGTACAACCTCATGGCTCGCTGTGTCTTTGATTCCTTGACCGACATGGAATACTTTGACCAAGCTGACGAGGTTCATGCTGGAATCAAGAAGCAATTGATGCCCAAGTTTGAGGCAAGGCCATTGATCATCTACTCGGATATGCAGTAGAGAGTATCTGAAGTTACAAGTTGTTTGGAAGTTGGCATGCTTGCAGAACAAACATGCATAGCATTCTCTTCACTCTGCTTCCATCCTTGCCCATCCTTCCAGCTCACAAGTACTATTGTACGACGATGCTCTGTGCTTGCAATTTAGGAAATGGAAGTATAACGAACATTACGAATCAAAATGATTTCTACACACAAACCCTGCTTTGGTGAATGTATTGTTTGTGAATGAAGTAGCAATTGCTTGGCCAAACACCACACATTTCACACATACTCAAGCTTTATTGTACACCTCACTTCCATTTGAAGTCACCACGGAAATACCAGATGTGATTTCATATTATATACAATGAGCTTCAAAATACTACAATAACGTAATAATAGAGAATACAAAAAGCCACTGAGGCGGATTCACCGCAACATCCCAAAAGCTCTTACTGTTATACACAATGGCGATTGTCTCAAGGCACCAAGTCCATTGTCTCAGATTTCTTCTTTGTTCACCTCTTGTCAGTCCACTACAAAAAAACCAGTCCCCATTCCTCCCTTCTCCCACAAAAGTCCACTCCAATCTTTCTTCTCCATCACACAAGAAAGCAAATCTTGAGAATTGTCAAAAACACACTTTGATCATGTCCTCTCCACACACCATCCAATCACCCACAACCCAGGAGATCGAAACCTCCTTCATCCAAGTCCTCAGCAACGGCCCGCTGAGTCTCGAAGCCATCACAGACCACATGACCGAATTGGTTCCAGACCACGAAGACGCCGTCGTAGCAGTCTTCGAATACATGGTCGAAGCCATCGAAGGAGAAGGGGAATCCACATATCAACTCCGCCCAGAATATCTTCCAACCAGCAGCAGCAGCAAGCAAGCGACTCCAACCCGCAAAACACCACCAGCACCCCTTTCCTTCGCCCGCTCACCAGCCCGCTCCCCCCAACCTTCCTCCTCCCCTCTTTCCTCTCCACCAACCCATCTCAGTTCGCCAGCATCGTCCCTCCCACCCCGACCACGCCCGCGCTACACTTCCTCCTCCCCGCTCTCCAGTCCACCACCGACTTGTGAACTGCGCTCGCCGACACCACCACCACCACCATCGCCGGCGGCAAGACCGGTCAGACGTACGCAGCGTGCGGGGCAAAAGGGCAAGGGCAAAGCCAAGACCACTACTACGACTTCGTCTCGCGTGACCAAGAAGAAGACTGGAAAAGGCAAAGGAAAGAAAGGAGGCATGGAGAAGGTGCAGTGTAATGGTGTTACAAAGAAGAAGAAGACGAGGTGTGGGCTTAGGAAGATGTGTGAGGTTGGGCAGGTGTGGGATTGTGGGAGGCATGGGTGAGGAGATGGATGGAGGCAGGGAGGACAAGTGATTAGGATGTAGACATATGTATGAGCTTTAACTCTTTTTTTTTGTAGTCGGTATGAGGAGAGTGGGAGCATAGGAGATATGGAAGGAAGGGATTGATGAGTGTGTTTGTGGAACGAGGATGGAAGAGACCAATAGGGGGATTGGTACATATGTCCAGAGAGAGAGACTACTACATCTATAGTATATCCTGGTCTTTCCCCACGCGCAAAAAAGTAATTATCAAAACGAAACCAATCAACCCATTCACAAACTCCACATGAACAACAAGTACATTCCATACTTCAATAAACACTAATAAATATTCTTATAATATGTGTTTCACTTATGCCACCATCTCTTCATTGATTTTTTTTTCTGTTCCCCTAAACCTCCGTCTCTAAATAATGGTTCTTGTAGCCACCACCACAAAACCACATCCCGCTGAAACCCACCAAAAAAGAAACCGAAACCAGGATATCAGAGAGAAAAAAAGCATCCCAACCTTTCTTAGACGCTTTTTTGGAGTGTAGATGTGTTCATGTTTCGTAAAACCCTATGCTGAAAAAGGATGCTAGACGCCCTTGTTGAGAAACAGAAACACCTTCGCACTCTATATGCCCGGGTGGTATGCGCAATATACAAAGAAAGTACACAGTATTAAAAAGTGTAGAGTTCGGTCGTGTCCGATCGGGTATCGCGTTTACATGATGATCGAAGGAGCTGGGCAATGTTAGTCGGTGTACCGACTAAATGAATAAAACATGGAAAACTTACTGTCGACGTTCTGCTTGATCGACTTGTGCGGCAGTACGGAACCACCGTTGACGTAGACCTCGTCGCCAATCGAGACATCGTCACCAAGAACAGTAACGTTCTCTAGACGTGCCCACTTGCCAACGGTGCTGTTCCAGCCGACAATGGTCGACTTAACCCAGGCGTGGTCCTTGACACGGCTGTTCTTGAGAAGTACGCATCGTTGCAGACGCACACCGTCGCCAATAACAACATCGGGTCCAATGGTGACGTTGGGTCCGATGCGGCAGTTCTTGCCAATCTTGGCTGAAGGATCAATCAGGACGTTTCCGCCGTAGACGTAAGGCTCGGATGCTGGTGTGAGCAGCTTGGAGTTCTTGCGAGCAAGCGACGAAAGGTAGAGGCAGGTACCGGACAAGAAGTCCTTGGGCTGTCCAACATCCATCCAGAAACCCTCGAGGTCAAAGGAGTGGAGCAGACCATCCTTGACAATAGCAGGGAAAGTCTCCTGCTCGATCGATGTAGGGCGGAGCTCAATGCGCTTGAGTACGCTGGTGTTCAAAATGTAAATACCGGCGTTGATGCGGTTGCCGACGAACTCGACGGGCTTCTCGACGAAACGGTCAATCTTGGAGGCATGGCCAGGCTTGTGTACAACGACACCGTACTTGGACGGCTCCTCCACCTTGGTTACGACTATGGTACCCTCATCACCGTGGTTCTTGTGGAATTCGGCGAGCTGCTTGAAGGGGTAGTCGCAGGTGACATCGGCGTTGAGGACGAAGAAGGGCGAGTCGTCCTTGCCCAGGACGTTCTCGGCGAGCTTGAGGGGACCGGCGGTGCCGAGGGGCTCGGTCTCGACGGAAAACGTAATGCTGACGTTGTACTGCTTCTCGTACTGCGGAGACGGTTATTGGAATGTTCTTGCATGATCGTGGGAGGCATCTACTAACGGTCTTGAGGGCCTCGGCCATGATCTCCGGGCGGTAGTTAACAGCAAGGACAACATCGGTGACACCAGCGGCAGCAAGGGCCTCAATCTGGTGCTGGATCATGGGCTTGTTGGCGAACTCGACGAGCGGCTTGGGGTAGGTGAGGGTCTGCAATTGGGCGTCAGCTTTGCGTCTCATTGCTTTTGCCAACGCGGGGCTCGCAAAGGCGGAGGAGGTGCGGAGAGACATACCAGAGGCCTCAGACGGGTTCCAAACCCTCCGACGAGAATGATGGCTGCATCTGCTATTAGCTATGCGTGGGTGGAGCACAATTGAGAGTGCATACCTTTCATATTGGCGGTGGTGTTGTGAAGGGGCGGTAGTCAGGGATTAGGCGGCGGTGGAGGTGTTGTGAAGGCTAGCAATGGGGTGCTTCCAAGCACTAGAAGCGAAAGGCAGGTTTGCAAAGAGGAGGACAGAAGCGGATGCGTAAGTAGGTCAAAGCCAGAGAGCTCGGTGTGTGATGAGGCCAGCTGGATGTTATATGGTCTGGTACTGCGTCCACATTTAGCGGAGCTAAGCTGCTCCCTGGCCTCTTCCGAGCTTCTAGCGTCCAGCTTCCCCTTTCTTCACCCACCGCATTTGTAGCCCGTTGGCCGCTACGCTCGTCAATTGTCCCCTAACGGCACCGGCCCCTGCAGAATTCGGGGCCCAGATGCGACCGTCCCTGATCACTCAGCCTATCCGCTTCTAATTGCAGCACAGGGTCACAGTGCTCTGCGGGTAACGTCGTATACCACCGCCAATTGCTGCCAACGGCGCATCACGAGAGGCAGCTGAGCAGGTACCAATCACCTCAACTGCGGTCATGCTGCTCGCAATTCCCAAGTCCTGTTCCTTGTACCGCGCTTCCCCCCTGAAAATGTCCCACGTGCCTCTATGCTGTGAAATTGGAGGCGTTGAAGGAACAGAATCTTTTGATCACGCCCGGTCCACGCAGTCGGAAGCGATCCGCGCCCCTGGTTTGAGACGGGTTGTGGCTGACGACTGTGGCGGGTGACGGGCCAATCACAGGCCACTCCCGAGCCGGTGACGGCCGCCCGTCGCCTTGTTACTGTGGCTGACAAGTACGCATGATCAGTGTGTAGGGAGTACGAGGGCGCATACCCACGGCCCTTCTACTACTGACTAGCGGCCCCCCTTCCTCACATCTCACGATAGCCCTCGAAAGGGACTCACGCCTTATGCGACGCGCGTCTTACTGTACATCTGTGGCGAGACAAGCATCCCCATCATGTCTTCACGCTACATGCTGACGCCGCTGCAAATAAAGCTTATAATGCGGTCAAGCAACGCTCCATATATTTAGCAATTCATGTGCCGACGCCTCTGTACTTTAGCATCCAAGTACATGCCGCCACATTGACCATTACGAACCATGGGCATGGGAGACCCGGTACCACGACCGGTGTGCTCCGCGTCTACCAAATGGCGGTGCCAAGCCGCAGACCCTGGCAAAGTTTACCCAAAGAATCTACCGTCTTACAAGTCCCTTCGCCTGCAGCTTTCTTCGTGCCAACAACAGGCTGATATGAGTCAATTAACATCAAACTGCGAGTATATTATACATGTTCTAGTACAACAAGAGACAGCATACGCCGAGTCTAAACACGCTATACTTCACGACATCACACATGCGATACCGTTCATCAACTCTTTCGTCGAAAGCTCATCGACCGCAGGGCATTACCAACGCTACTTCCCCGTTTGAACATGCTGGGCCTCCTTGCGGGACCTCCACTGGGACTCTGTTCACCCTGACCTTGACGAGGTGACCAGGTCGAGCTTTTGCTACCCGGTGATGACCCAGGCGTACTTGCAGGAGTCCTTGTGGCGTCGCCAAAAAGGAACTCCTTGGCAAAGATCCAATTCCCACGCTCATACCTCCACAGATCCAACCCCACGGCCTGCCCCTCCTGATTGCGCTCAGACAGCTCCTGTCGGATAGTGGAAAAAGCACCGTCAACCTTGTGCTCATCGTCCACCTTGTTCATAACAGTCCAGTGCGGCCGGAACCCGCCAGCATCCTGCTCACTCAAAAAGGCTGCCCACTGCGACTGCAAATCAGCGTGCACGTGCTTCATCGCCTGGTACCCCTCGTCAACATTGATGCCCACGCCTTTGCGCATGCGGAACGGCTTGCCAGACGAGACGGTGAAGGGCTTTACATTGCTTGCTACCTGCGCTAGCCCCTGTTCTAGCGTCTCCATCTTGGATTCAGGCAGCGCATGAAAAAGCGTCAAGTGCGCACCCGTGCGATTCAGGTGCTTGGGAAAATACCGATTCCGCATCTCTTCCATGGACTCTGCAAGCTCATCCGTCACCTTGAGCGTAAGCACGTAGACATTTTCTTCCTCGTTTCCAGAGTTGGGCCTATGCTCTGCCCGAGGGTACTGGCCTGACGGTCGGCTGTCTTCGACAATATAAGGCTGGTAATCACTTTTCTGATGGTACTGCTGCTGTTGCGAAGCTTTCGGACTCGTCTTGCTTTCCTTCTTGGTTGCCCACCCCCGGAAACTCGTCTTTGCCCTGACCCCTGCTCCAGGCCGCTGCGGCTTCTGCTTCTCCTGCTCGGCTCCGTGTGTCGTTACTGCCGATGCTTCAAACGATGCTCGCATGTCAGGGTCAGAGCAGGCACGGGCTTGGATTGTTGGTTGCCGCAGTGCCCCGTTGGGTATGCTGACGGCTGCCGCATATGTGACTGCCATATTGCTCAGGCGCTGTGTAGACGTGTGTAGATGTAATGGTAGAGGTATGCTCGGAACGGTGGCTGCTGACTGGAAGAAAAACGATTGACCGAGCTGCCGAAAGACAGCTATCTGCATCGATGAAAAGAAGGATAGGGTTAAAGCGAAAAGTGATAGCAAGGCTGGTGCTGGTTTCGTTGCTTCTTGTGGTCTTGACCCCCTGTTGGGGGGTCGTTCAGTAACGGAACATCGGAAGATCCATACGTCACTGAGCGGCCGCTAGTGGTTGCGCCCGCGCGATGTGGAGATCGCCAGTCGCCGTCGGTTCAGCTCTGTGTCGGGTTAATGTTGGTGCGTTTGGGGCCTTGTACAATCCATGTTGTAGCATCTGAGTAAAGAAAAGACAAAGTTGGAACTAAGGTGATATGCTTGGAAATAGTTTAATTATAGTTTATAATCCTGGTTGCATGGGTAGTGTTTGTTGAGCCAACCTCTATGTACCATTACCAACACCTCGAGGCCACGCCTGGCGTACCCTCCATATTACCTGTATCGTATATCACCTAGATCAGGGTTTGCTGATGGCTTGCCATCTTCCATTCTCCCGCTAGACTCTGGCTGGAACCTTCGAGAACCCATGCACTCGAACAAATGGCTCTGAATGTCTCGTTGTCTCTTGTAGCTTCCACGCGATAATAAATGAGCGCGCTATCTTTGCCCAGCGGAATCACTTCGTCATGGCTGAGGATATATGACTTCCAAGGTCTGAAATCGGGGCCCTGAAGCATCTCGTGAACGGTTGGTGAGGACACGGAGCTTAGGATCATGTCGCCCGGAAATATCATGACGGGATTGCTCGACAAGAGTGGGATAATATCGGAGCCAGAGCTGCAGAGCGCTGCCCAAGCCTTGTGTTCGAGCGAACACACGGCGGCCGTCAGCGAAGGATTTGTGAGCATTGGGGTCGCCATTGCGGAGGTGGAGCACGCCGTAATTCGACTAACCCGGATGCGCGCCGATAAATGGAGTCGATTACTGGGCTTCAAGAAGGGCTGACGTGCAAGTTCGGCCGCGGTAACCGTAATCACACCGTAGATGGGAGCTGGATGCAGGACAGTAGAGTAAATACTTACCCCGCGATGCGGCTGTAACATACTGTGATCACATATCTTGCGTACGTCACAGCTGCGTATTCGTCACTTGGCGCATGTTTGACATGTTCCGAGCGATGTAAATGCTGTCTGAGAGTGAAGTTATACGCTTGATGGCGTGCTCTACCGTGGGCGATGAGCGGTTTCGCCGCGGGGGCTGCGCAGTAGATTCACTGTCGCAGCTGCCTTGGCACATTGAATATGGCGCGACGGCAGCTCCGACAAGCACCAGACCATCTTTTGATAATGCAGAGTCAACCAATTTAGGTTCCGGTTGCGGACTGTACAGTACTCTACTGGATGTACACGTATGGCGTTTGGTACCGGGTCGGTGAAGGCGGTGGTCGGCTTCAACACCGCAGAGGCGCGGTTGGCTTCTTTGGGAGCGTACATACGTCACATGTCCGGGGGGGCAGGGGAGGTCCAGGCTCCAGGCGATAACGGTGGGCCCAGCGGGGGGAGAGCTGGAGTCGACGATAGTCCAACGTCGCCACCACCACAACAACACCATGGAACTCGGGCGGCGACGAAAAGAGGCAACAAACAGGTGGCGTTCTAGTGCAGCAAGTGAATTGCCAGGCTGAATAATAGCACATGGACGGCGGCAAAGAATAGGCGATGGGCAGCGCTGCGGCGAGGCGGTGGAAACAGCCGGAATGTTCCCGTGCGCAGTCGCTGATTGGTGCACGGACTCTGGTCGCATCATTACTCGCCCTTTGACCCAGTCACTGCCTCAGCCTGCCTCCATATAAGCCACCTCTCCGCCAGCCCTGCCCTTTCTCTTTCCTTACTCTTACCCTCACCCTACAGCACCAAAAGAAAGGCTGTTTTCAATACACACACAACACACAACCCATCAAACACAGAAGACAACACGCAACCATGCAGATCTTCGTCAAGACCCGTAAGTAGTAGCCATCGCCACCTTGGCCTTTATCGCGCCTCAGCTGCTAACCAGCTTCGCAGTCACCGGCAAGACCATCACCCTCGAGGTTGAGTCCTCCGACACCATCGACAATGTCAAGGCCAAGATCCAGGACAAGGAGGGCATCCCACCAGACCAGCAGCGCTTGATCTTCGCCGGCAAGCAGCTTGAGGATGGCCGAACCCTTGCCGACTACAACATTCAGAAGGAATCAACTCTCCACCTTGTCCTCCGCCTCCGTGGTGGTATGCAAATCTTCGTCAAGACTCGTAAGTTGCCACTTGGTTATCGCTTACGTTGGAGCTGTCACTAACATTACTACCAGTCACCGGAAAGACCATCACACTCGAAGTCGAGTCATCCGACACCATCGACAATGTCAAGGCCAAGATCCAAGACAAGGAGGGCATTCCCCCGGATCAGCAGCGTCTGATTTTCGCCGGAAAGCAACTCGAGGATGGCCGCACCCTTGCCGACTACAACATTCAGAAGGAGTCTACCCTGCATCTCGTCCTCCGCCTGCGCGGTGGTATGCAGATCTTCGTCAAGACGTTGACCGGCAAGACCATCACGCTGGAGGTCGAGTCTTCGGATACTATCGACAACGTCAAGGCAAAGATTCAGGACAAGGAGGGTATTCCTCCGGACCAGCAACGTCTCATCTTTGCGGGCAAGCAGTTGGAAGATGGCCGTACTCTTGCCGACTACAACATCCAGAAGGAGTCGACACTTCACTTGGTGCTTCGTCTGCGTGGTGGTATGCAAATCTTCGTCAAGACACTGACCGGCAAGACGATTACTTTGGAGGTGGAATCAAGCGATACCATTGACAATGTAAAGGCGAAGATCCAGGACAAGGAGGGTATCCCTCCTGACCAGCAACGTCTCATCTTTGCTGGTAAGCAACTTGAGGACGGCAGGACGCTTGCCGACTACAACATCCAGAAGGAGTCCACGCTCCACTTGGTGCTCCGTCTACGCGGCGGTCAGTAAGCGTGACGACAGTTTACGATATCATTCTGGGTATGGCGTTTATGACATGATTCAGCCTACGGGCTGCGTTAAAGCGGGTCGGTTTTATTCATAGTTCATACGGCTACTAAAGCCTCATCAATGCATCTACACTTGCCTACGGGCTTCGAGGTCGCTCAAATACTGTTGTGCACATGCGCCGCGTGATTATTTGTCTTTACTAATCCACCTCTCAGACTGTGCGGCTTCTTGCACAAATTATGCGTGTGCATAATACATGCTTCACAATCTCTGGCTTGTTGACATTATGCCTGTGTCAAGTTGACAGTTGATGTTGGACAGCGACACCATGATGTTGTCTCTACTGCCATCGCGGTACTCCATTTACCGCGGCTTAATTCCGACAACCCCACTTCAGTTGACGCCACTGGCAATATCTCCGCTAAAATCCACCCCCACTTCAAGGGCGACATCATTGAACGGAGATTGGCAGAGGTGAGTCCGCTTCCTGGCCTTTTGTGGCTGGAATTCATTTAATTGACCCAAGGCCGGACGAGCTGAGCGGCTTTTACAGCAAACCCCGCGATTCTCTTCGATAACACTGCCATCTGATTTATAAACCCCCCATTGCCTCGCTGCAAAGGTCACAATCGCAGAAAAACTGTCATCAACGACTCCACTCACACGACTTTCCAAGAGACCCCATACACACACGCAACAATGGCAGAGAAGAAGATGGAATACGTCAAGTGAGTTCTTCATTGCCATGAGCAACAGGAGCTTCCAATGGCCAGTGTGCTCATGCGAAATAGCTTAGGAAAGTCTGGCCTCAAAGTCTCAAAGGTCATCTTGGGTGCCATGAGCTATGGCTCTTCCAAGTGGCAGCCATGGGTTCTGGATGAAGCCGAAAGCTTGCCACTGCTTGAGCATGCATACAAGTGCGGTATCAACACCTGGGATACGGTATGTTGCTCTCTAGACGACTTCCTACACATCATCGCAATGATAGCGCATACGTGAAAGCAGGGCTAACAGAACGCTGTCAAGGCCGATATCTACTCCCATGGTATCTCCGAAAAGATCATTGCAAAAGCGCTGAAGCAGTACAACATCCCGCGCAGCAAGGTCGTCATTCTATCGAAATGCTACTTCGGCGTCATCGAAGAAGACCCCAGCATCCCTATTGCACAAACATCCGCCAACGACGCCGAGCTGGTCAACCAAGTTGGCTTGAGTCGCAAGCACATCTTTGACGCTGTAGAGAAGAGCGTAGAAAGATTGGGCACCTACATTGATGTCCTACAAATCCATCGTTTGGATCGTGATACACCAAGGGAGGAAATCATGAAGGCCCTGAACGATGTTATTGAGAAGGGCTGGGTACGCTACATTGGCGCCAGCTCAATGGCTGCGTGGGAGTTCCAAACATTGCAAAATATTGCAGACAAGAACGGCTGGCACAAGTTCATCTCAATGCAGAACTACTACAACTTGCTTTACCGCGAGGAGGAGCGCGAAATGGTAAGCACTGGAGTATAGAGAGTTCTGTGGGCCGCTCTAACAAATCGTCCAGATTCCATACTGTCAAGACACTGGCGTCGGTCTCATCCCATGGTCGCCCATAGCCCGTGGTGCCCTCACGCGCCCTTGGAATGATCGATCTACAAAGCGTGCAGGAACCGATAAGTTCCAGGAATTACTCGTTTATTCGAGGGAAGACGCCATTGACAAGAAGATTATCGAGCGAGTCGAAGAGGTTGCAAAGAAGAACAACGTCAGCATGGCATGCATTGCAACATCATGGGCTATCAAAAAGGGCGTTTGCCCCATCATCGGGTTGGGCAGCAAACAAAGAATTGAAGAAGCGGTACAGAACATTCACTTCAAGCTTAGCGATGAAGACGCAAAATACCTGGAAGAGGTATATGTACCCAAGTTCAGGCAGGGGTTCTAAAAAACGATTAGATACGATACATCAATGTAGAAAAATATCATGGGTGTGCACTTGCTGAAGCCTGCCTCTAAAGAATGCGGGAATTGTGATGTTTTATCTGAACACCTTGTTTTCTTTTTGGCAACTCATTCGCAAGTCGTCTTGGAAAAGGATATCTGTCAGTTCTGAAAAGAGGGACTTAGCAACATGCCACTGTCTGTATATCGACTCTGGGGAAATAACACCATGTTTTTTTGCCAACCAGTGTCTACACAATGGTTATGCCTCCACCAAGTTGTCTTGTCGCATATTTTCCCAACAATGCTGACACCGTAACGAACGCCACTATCTCGCACTCACACCCACCCTCTTCACACCGCTTCAGATCCCCATACCCCAACCTCAACCTCAACAGCAAAACGACTTGCAGGTTACACAAGCCCCATGCTTATGAAGTAGTGCAAAATGCACCAACGAACATATCCTCGTTTTCCCAATCCGGTTGACGCAGTACTCTTGCTATTCATGCATACAATCTATGCCGAAAACAGATTGAAGTGTAAGATTGATGAAGGGGAAAAAGCAAACAGACAGAATGCCATGGAAGGAGGGAGCCGTTGAGAAGATGTACGCTGCAGTTACCCGACGGGTTACACAAATGCAGCTTGTGCTGTAAGTGCATACATGTATGTAAGAACGAATGTAGTTAGAGCCTCACTCATGCAATGTATACAGGGAGTACGTTTGTGTGTGTGTGTGTGTGTGTGTGTCTGCGCGTATGAAGAGTAGCATATTGCGGTGTATGTAGATTACCATGTACGTATGCATACTTACAAACACCATTACAACAGCAACCTTCACCACCACCACTTTCGTCATTATCGTCGCACCAAGCTAGTGTTCTGCACGTAATCGAACGATCTACAATCCAATGTTCACTCCACCGGAAAGCACTTTTGCTCCCTTTTCTTTTCCTCTCCCTCAGCTAATGCGAGAATGTTTGTAACGGGTCAAGACCTAAATGTAGCAGCTGGGTTCTAGAAGCAAGCACTAGAAAAGAAAACATTACTACCTGTCAGGGCAGCTAGAATTTTCTAGCTTAGGGTTGCATTTAGTTGCCGTATGCATACATTTGGTACGGTTCTTGTCTTTTCATGCATGCGTTTCTTTTTTCCCGCCGTTTCTTTTTGGCTGCGGAGAAGCAGTATCATGTGCGGGATAGCGCAGAGTGAGTAAAGCTCTACCCAAATTCTACCCATCTACGTACCTAACTACCGACCGAACCCAGCCCCACCCATTGATTCCAGTTCTCGAGCCAAAAGCTTGTTCGGGAGTCCGTTTGTCCACCACTTAGTTTACCACGTGAATGCGTGACTATCGCTAGTCAAATACTACCCTTTTCCCAAATATCGGTCGCTAGCTTGTACCATGAAATAGAAAGAAAACAACGCAGGGCAGCAGACCAGACCCAACAAATCGATCGATTGTCAGAATAAGGGTCTTTGGGAGTTACACACCCTCACATACACACACACGGTCGCACACACACATGCTGAGCGTAACATCTTGACAGTTTGACGTTTTCCGGTGAAGGCTGGGGGAAATGGGAAAGTAACCCCGCACTAAGGAACGCAAGCCCAGCACCCACCACATGAACAACGACAACGCATACACGCAACCCCCTGACCCGGCAAGTGCTTAGGGCTAGCTGGAAGCGCATCCAGCCACTACCATTATTCTTACCATCACCACCACTACCACCGTTATCAACCAAAGTATGTAGGTGTTTATTTCTCCTCCACCGCCGCAACCGCCAACCCCACCCCACATTGCCGGCCCGCATACACACATCTTCTCATGCACGCCTGGGTGTTTGGTCCCGAGGGTGCAATCATCTCACGCCTCCCTATCAAACCCCCTCTCCACTGCACGTCAGACAGCGGATGTGCTCGGGAGCTAGGGAAGAAGGGTTCTTCCCTGTACAAGCCCGCCATCGTGACACATATGAGCACACCACACACGCATGCCTAACATACGCATACACACGCTGTTTGCGGGCTACCCCGGGGCCGCCAAAAATGCATGATCGACACCAACAGCCGTCGTGGGATTCCCCCACTTCCGTCTTTTACATACTCACTACTACTACCTTTTTCGATCTTTACCCAATTCTGCCTTCCCGATCTTACTGCACATTCATACTACTTACCCCCCTTAGGTCCATATCCTTACATACCACGTGACTCACATCTCCCTCCTGCCCCCTTTTTTCCCCATAACCCCGTTACTTTGGGCAAAACCCAAAAATGTAATAATACTGTAGATGAGATAAACATTGTTATCATGTGAGCGTTTGCCAAACTCTGTCTCTCGTACGGCGACCGTTTTTTTGTCCTTAATAAAGTTTACAAATTACAATGAATCAAGCAAAACTCTCCCATTTACTCCCCAAAACTAACAATAAAGGGGGAAGTGTTGTGGGGGCAGGGAAGAAGCAAAAGGTAGAAAAACAACCAAAGTGGTAAATACCGGTCCGGTAACAGAGAACCAACCAGGTTTTCTTTTTTTTTGTGACTACACATGCAATGCCACGATTTGGGGGAAGTTTTTCTGACCCTTTTTCAAACCAACAAAAAAAAAACACAAGATTTCCGAAAATTCCCATTTTTTTCGCCACACATGCCATAAAACCCTAAAACTAACAACCTCGTATTCTCTCTCTATTTTTTTTTTCCAAATTCCGATGTTGAACCGACCGCGGACAACCAAAAAAATAAATCGACGATAGACCAAAAAAAAACAAATCACTCCGAGCGATCGACCGAAGGCAGAGAGACAAACAATGCGCGAGGGCTAATGGCAACAAATGCAAGTGCAAAAGGGCACAAGTTTAGTATACATTAGTGTATTTGAAAAAAAAAACGAGGGCTTCGCTAAGTCAAGCCCATCGTCTCTTCCTCCCCCACTAAAAAAAAGAAACTACCAGACCCAAAGAAGGTAAAAGTAAAAGGACGAAGAAGCTGAAACACCGCCTTTTTGCAACTTACGATGGCGGGCATAATGTCCGCATTTCCTTTTTTGGGAGGGAGGGGAGGGGGGGAGCTGACGTGGGGAATTTCTTTGCGTCGTGGGACTACTAGTTAGCGGGTGTGTGTGTGTTTTTGATTGGAGGAAGAAACGCATGGGTGGTTCGAGACGAGGCGGGATGATGGAGAGGGGACAGGGCAGGGCAGGGCAGAGACAAGGGCAGAAGCAGAGGCAAGGGTAGCTTTTATGCGGCAATTCTTAGTAACTTGCCCGCCAAACAGGCGGGACAGGAGATCGGGGGGGGGGGGGGGGCAGAAGTAGGAGGCTGGGGAGAAAAGACGACACTCTGGCTGTTAGAGTTGTACTACTTACTACCATGGTTGGGCTGGTTAGTCAGTTTCAATTGCACACGATTTGTTTCGGGCCAACAAGAACTTCACAGAAACTCTTTGTTTTGTCTATAATGATAATAATTTTAAAATGTAATAGATTTCCAGATTCCACTCCCATGCCAATAATCCCGGTGATAGATACATACTCGTTTTCAGATGAAAGAGGTGGCTTACTCACAGCACATGCGACTACCATGGATAGAGCTAGTATTGCTGGAGGAGTATGTCAAAGCCTTATATGACCAAAAGAGAGATAAAAAATAAAAAACAAGCCGCTCGCTCGCTATGCCAATAACACAATCGTCAAGAATGAAAAAGATATTTTTCTCTTGGAGGATTGGTGTGAACTGTCGCGATCGACAGCACACAAGTGTCGGAGATGCGATACCTATCCAAGGAACCCCGCCTCCAACTCCACTGCTCGCAAAGATAAAGGAAAGAACAATAAACCTTCAAACACGCAGGACTCTCAATTCCGGTTCTGCCTATTCGCTTACTTCAAAAGATCAAATAGTCGTGATCGTTGTCATGGCCATCGTGTTCGTGGACCATACGTCAGCCGTCTCCGTTCAGAAAGTCAATAAAGGTCGTATGGATCATTTGGAAAGATAAGTAAAAACAAAAAATATCAGTCCGGTGCCACCCGGTAAAGAGCGTGATGTAGTTGGGAAGTTGTGGGAGCCGGAGCTTGTTTAAATCATTGATCAAGCCGAGATCGCAGAGAAAACATGGCATCCAGAGGACACCGGGGAATCGCAATAAAATGCAGACACAGTCGTTCATCGTTTGAAGTTCAGGGATCGTCAGCCGTTAGATTGCAATCATTGGGCACGTGAGTCGTGGGTCGTTCTTTATATGTATGATGTGCCGTGAGAGCAGGCTGCAGTGCGTTGCCGGTGGATGAGTCGCGCGTAAAAGATAGGCGGTGAAGGGTATGTGCAGCCTACGGATTAGACGATAACGATATCGTGAAGACGCAAGTCGATTAAAATCTAGTTGGCTCGGATGACGAGCTTCGAGAGGAACTTATTTGAAAGCGAGTCGAAGTCCGTACGGTCGAACTTGCAGTCACTTCGTGAACGAAGGTATGGTTCTGATGGTCATGTTAGCATTCGCAAAGGCCAAGTGGAGGCTAATAGTATTTACCATATTTGGTGACATGCGCGCGGACCTCGGTCATGGCATCGCAAACCGCAGGGTTCGAGTTGAGCAGGTGGTGGTGTTTCCTAGAGTCCCACTCGGTGAAAGCAGGAAGCTTCTGGGAGATGGCCGAGAAGAGGCCAACAATGACACCAACTGGCGTGCCCTCCATCTCACCGCAGAACTTGTGAACAGCGCTGATGTCAGGGACACGGTAGTTGCAGTCGAACTGGATCAACTCCCACACAGCCAGGAGGATGGCAGCGAGCATGAAGATGGTAGGCCAGTTTTTCAACTTGTCACCACTGTAGACGGACTGGTAGAGCGAAGACAGCTCCTCGAGGACGTCCTTTTGCAGCTCGCGCCACATGTCGGCAAGAGCACACTTGACTTGGAAGTTGATCATGACAGGTGCAATGGTCTTTCCAGAGAACTTGGACTGCTGGTCTTCGACCTTGCCAGGAACATTCTCCTCCTCACCCAGACCCTCAACCATGGTGACATGGAGAGTCAGGTTGTAGGCAAGGACAAGCTTAAGTGCCTTGCGAATCACTGGCAGCTTCTCGCGGCAGTAGAAGCGGTAGGCAGTCTTCAAGAGCTCAGTGACGAAGTAGGTACCCTCAAAGTACTCATCAACAAACTGCTCGAAACCACCATCAATGTGGCGATCAAGGTAGTCGGAGAGCATGGCTCGAGGGATACCCTCCATACCGGCGGACAGCTTGGCAGTGTTGATCTCAAAGTGAAGACCGTTCAGCGTCTCGTGCCAGTCGACACCGAAGCATTTTTCGTCGCGGACGTAGACCTCACGAGCCATGATGGGGAGGTAGTGGCCATAGCCGTGGGTGACGTAGATCAAACGCTCTGTCGTCGAGAAACCCTTGATGTTGCCAATAGAAAAGCCAAGGCTGACATGACGCTCGTAGTCGGCCTTCCAGTCTTTCATAAAGTAGGCAATATCCTTGATGTCAATGCGCGTGCACGGGACCTGCCAGAGGCGTGCATGAGATGGCTGGCAACCAGCGCACGGATCACCCTTGTCACACGTCTTCTTGAGGAACTTGCATCGCAGGCACGCACGGAGCTTGCGGATCTCGTGAGCTTGCTGTCGCTGATCGGGCCTCAAAGGGCCACGTCTCCTGCCAACACGCTTCTCGCCAGTGTTGTCCTTCTTGTTGGTGTGAGCAGGTGTCTTCTTGACAATGGTCTTGGTGGGCTTTGATCCAGACGCAGTGGTGGGAGACTTCCTGCGGCGGGCTGGTGGGGAGCTGACTGCCGACGAGGTTGGCGAGGCAGTGTTTGACGACGATTGCTTAATGACAATTGGCTCTACGCGAGCCATGGGAGGGCTCACGGACTGTGTGGGGGAGATGTAGCTGGGGAAGTCGTGGTCACTGAGCGTGTATCCGTGACCGTGACCGTGACTGCAGTGATCTGAGTGGGAGTGGATGAGGTCTAGGGTGTTGTCGGTCTCTGATTGGGGCGAGTGCATGGGGAACTGAATCTCCTCGAAGCTGCTAAAGGAGTGAGCTGAGCGAGGTACATCAGAGTGATTTGAGGTAGATGAGTCGGAACCAGTGCGAATGTGGAGCGACTGAGCTGGGTTGAAGATGATGGCAGAGTTTTCAGAGTAGTCGTACGAGTTGCGGTGGTTGAAGCCAATATCGACCCAGCCGTTGTCACTGCTCGAGAGCGAACGGATCTCCATCCAGTTCTCGCCCGGTGAGCCAGTGGAGACGCTGTTTGCAGTGGCGGCGTTGGAGTTTGTGGCATAGTCGGGTGCACTCGAGATGTTTGTGAACTCGCTCTGGAAGTCTGCCATCTGGAAGGGAGCAGTGGTCAGAGTGGGAAGCTCCATGCTGGTGGTAGTCATGAAATTCATGGGAGCCATGGACATGGAGTTCATCATGACATGCGAATTGATGCCAAACTCGACGGGCGATGTTTGCAATGGCCCGCCGTACGAGGCAGTGAAGTCGGCACCCATGGTCATGGCGCCCTGTGCATACGTGTCCTGGGTGAAGCCGCCGTCGGTGTTGATGTTCATCCAGGTAGCCAGCATGGGGTTCATGGGTTGCATGGCGGCGGGGAAACCAAGGCCCATGTTCTGGTGGAGGGGAGTCATGCTCGTCGAGCTCGCGTGGGAGCTGTGGGAGCTTGAGGCGCTGGAATCGGTGATGCGTCGCTGATGGTGCTGATGTTGTTGCTGCGACTGCTGCTGCTGCTGCTGCTGGGGCTGCTGGCTAGCATCGTGGTGCTGTTGTTGATGCATACTGCCGGGTGAGATGGGCAGCGGCCAGGTTTGCGGGAAAGTGAACGTTTGTCGGTTGGGATCAAAAGATGGGTCGAAGGTGCCGTCTACGCCGTAGATGGCCCCGTCAAAGTCGATGTGTTGGTTCTCCATGTTTGCACGGAGAGAGGAAATGGGTTCGAGTCTTCTCAGCCTCCGTGAGCTGGTAGTAAGCGGTGAAGGACGGCGGGCGATGGGCCGACCAGAGTGTAGGCGGGTGGTGCCAAGGCCTCACACCGCTTTTTGTATGCACTCCCAGCCCCACACCCCAATGGCTCGACTAGATCTGCACCTGGCTGGGATAGCGCCAGAAGCGCTGCAGCGGTCCGCTCGATTCGCAATCGAGGGCAAAGGAAAACCCTGATGAGCGACGGCGTGGGCGAGGGTTCCCAGACTGGCACACCCGTGAGACGAGCACCTGTCCAGCCAGAGCCGCCGCCAGCTGTGGAGAGAGACGACGGCGCCTGGTAGTGGGAGAGCACATGGCCCAGCGGCGAGAGAACGACTGTGCTGTGTGCTCGCCCAGCGACACGCTCCACTTGCGCGCCTCGTCGTTACATGCCAGACACTACCACCAGCTCCGCCTCTCGGCCGCTGGCCGCTGGCTGCTGCCGGCCTGCTTCACCCACGCAAGCTGACGCCTCGCCCTGCCTCCAAGCCGTCGCCTGTCAAGAGACAACCCCGCCTGCGATAATGCCCCGATAAGCGTTAGACTCGGGGTCCTGTACCATGGGATCAGCATGCCGAGAGCGTTGGGGATGCCGCAAAAAGCAACCCTCAGAGGCCCTTCCTCTACCTGAATTGAACATACTCGACCTGCTGTCGCTCCATCGCCAGCTACCCGTGCGCCCCTCATCCGACTGCCTCTCTGCACGACCAGTCCGGCATGCAGCCAAGCGACTCGGTCTGCGCTACGCTCGGTCATGGGCGCATCTAAGCATCTCGACCGACACGAAGGGCTGTGGAGCCACTCGACACTACACTCGACCAGGTTCACCATTTGCCTCCCGGGCTCAACCTGGCCCCAGAACATACAACGGCACGCTGCCCTCGATGTAGACACTCACCGACACCACTTGTTGAACGCCTCACAGGGCGTGTCATCGTCATCGCCTCAATTGCTCTGCTGCGAGGCGAGCTATGTATGGCTGCCATGCCATGCTAACCTCCGCGCGCTGAGCCCACTTCCCGGCCGGCGGCCCTCGTGCTTGCAGCCGCTCGTTACTGCTCTAGTATCTTCTGCATGCTGTCAAGTCTCCTCTGCGTAACATCGCTTCCAGGCCTGTTATTTTGGCCCTAATGTCTTGCAGCCAACCTATCGATTATTGCCGCCGTTTCAGCAATTGTGTCATCCGTCATGCTCCGCCGGCATATCGCCGCTAATCCAGCGATAGCCAGAACAAATAGCGATCCTCGTCTGCACTTGTGCGTGTACTACCGTGGTATCACCCTTGCTGTACCATGCCGGCAAATCTCCGTCCAAACTCTCCTCACTGTGTCCGTCATACACTTAGTTTCGCGACTGTCTGACGGTAAGGCTTATTGTCGACACTTTGCTATTCTGTCGCAATCGTTTCAAGGCCTTTAGAACAGAACTCAAGATCGGGTTTTGTGTATGGGGCATAGCTGGATAACACATCTTGCAGCGCTGATCCAGCATAGTTGGTGGCGTCGTGTGGGGCGTGCTGACATTCCTCGTTATCCCACGTAGCAGTGAATATAGAGTAGTATGTATATACATACATATCTAGGTACTTTAGAACAGACGAGAACAGTTGCCAGTCCAGATTTGTATAACGCAAGCTAGCTGCGTTGAAATTGGGTGGGTTTGACCCTTGTTTGGCTCGGTTCGGAGGACCGACTATGGCGACTTGGTGGAGATGGCGTTGCACTGCACTGCGCTGCACTGCATGTAAGATAGATCCTGCCAACGGTCCTGGGCACATTCAGCTTCGGTGAATCTAAACGAGTAAGCGCTGCATCTAATTGCTTCTTGCATGACTTGTCACGATTGTAAGATCACAAGCTGTGATGGTTGGCGGCTGTGAGACCTTGTGGGCAACTCATGTTCTTGTGGCGTTGGGAAAGAAGAACGAAGACATCGGTTGATAGGCTCAGACGCAAGGGGTTGCACGAGAAGGGTGTGATTGAGAT